ATGCCAGCAAGAATGCAAGCTTTTATCAAGGCCAAAGGAGGCCATACAAAATAAAATAGCCTATTTATATTTTTGGTTTATTAGTTTTTGGTTATTATGTGTGAATAAAGACTATTTAGTTGTTTCAGTTTATTATTTGCCCAATGATAACACAATTTTTAGTTTTAAACCAGTTTTTGACGGGCGGTCTAATAAATTTGTTAAGCACTGTATATAGCTACATATAGTTTTGTGAGAATTTGAACTGAAAATAAAACTTACAAACTCACTCGTTTACACTTTGCCCCTTTCTTGATTGCCAATGGCTGCAAAGTACAACGTGAAAGCGCAAGGCTGACGCTCCGTAGCGGATTCACACATCCATGAGCGAGGCATTTCAGTTGAAGAGACGGGAGTTGCGCGACAGCATGCTCCTAGAATCTGTTTGAGTAAGATAACAGCCGTCGAAACGAAAGCGCACGGGTTTACGCAGTAGGCTAGCCTATGTGAATCTGGCGATAGATCGCGCATCCTCTGTTTCACGCATGAGAAAAAAAAGCTTTCAGAGAACTTAGTACGTTCTGATGAAAGGGTAGTCTATGTATAGGCCACGGCTAGATAGACGTTTGAGAATACATCGCTCGTTTTACCGCAGAACATTTATTTGCGTGGTGCCCCTGGGCACTTGCCCAATTGCCCATATGGTTAATCCGCCTATGAGGGCAGGGGGTACTCCAGGACAGGTTTGATAGGTAGTGCAACAGTCGGTTTCCAAAATTAAAAAAACTCCCATTTAGTTTCTTCATAGGGAAATAGATTTTTAGTTAACTTATAGGTGCAGTATGTATTAATGGGTACTGCAATCCAAATTCAAAATATTGGAGAAAGTTGTTTCTCTCCTCCTTTATGCTGACGTGGGTTGCCAGATTGAGGACAGACAACAGGAAAGCACAATTGACAATGACTGCAGTACCCTGTGTTTTCTGCTAACTGGCTACCCGGGGTGCTGAAATCCTATTGGGTAAATTGGCGAAATCACACAGTCCAAAACAAAAACAGACATTCTGACACAGAACGCACATTTGAAAGTAGAATAACTGGCTGTTTTTAGAGAAACAAGTATGTGAACTTGGTATGTTTCTTTAGTACTTGGTATTGTAGCATCTGCTTAAAATCATGGATGATCATTGGGGCTTTATGTCTTAGAGACCCCTTTTAGCCTTTTGACATTTGCATATAAATTACAGACATGGACCCACATTCTACATTTATATTGGTGCTAAATTGCCAATGGTTTTTGGCCATTTTGGCCTAAATTGCCCCACTATCAAGGAGATGCTAAACAGTTTCACCACTCTCGTCTCTTCATCTGACTTCAAACACATTCCAAAGAGAAGTAAATGACCCCCGGTGCCAGGCACCAATGGCCTGGCTGACCAGCAAACTACCCCCATGCTCACAATACACATAACACACACACATAAAGACATTTTCTTTATTTAGACTATAATCAGTCAGTTACAAATTTATCTGGTATATGCATGTGTTGTCTGTATGTTTCCCTATTATATTAGCCTAGTTACCACTCGTTATTTGTATTAGTTAATCTCTAAACGCTCATATTCAGGTGTATGAATGTATCTCTGGTTTAATATCTTCTAGATGTTTCTTTCTTGGTATCAAAATGATCTGCTCTTTATTCCTCAAACAATGATGTACACTATGTGATCGCGAAATGCATCATACTATTTGTACTATATTTTGGATAAAACTGCACCAATCCTCCAGACCGGCCATAAACATGCAAATGGGCCATAAAGGGAGACAAAGAAAACTTCTCC